GTATTTCGAAGTAGGTTGTAAAATGCTCTTTTTTCCACTAAATTGGATTTCTATGAAACTCATAATACCTGTTTTGATGTGGCTTTTACCACTAGACACCGACAGGAGAGCAGCCTCAATTATGGTTCACGCTTTGATTTGTTTTATCTTTCAAAATGTTTCATCCTACCCTTCTCTACTCCCCCGCGGTTGCATCGTGACCAGAAATCGGTACACAATAGTTAAGTAGAGCAGAAGATAGCACACACTGGTGTCTCTCTCCTCATGCCATTTGTTTTGATTGCATTCACACAGTGAGAACACATATTTGGATTCTCAACAAACAACATCAGGCACGAGATTTAGGTTTCTCTCAGGGGGGGAAGCTTCCACCCCGGTGAGAGTAAGGGATGGTTTTGAATCAATCTGTAAGACCTGGATCTGTGGCACTCCTCCACCCTGAATACCCCATGAGAACTGTGACATTTCATTTGAAAGCTTTTGTATTATTTCTAAATGTAAGGTATTTTCTGTTTTGCTTATCGACCAAGATCCTGTTTTGTAATGTTTTAAAAGGGCCACACAAAATGTTGTTATGTGTTCATCTTGTTGACTAAATCCCCAGAACATTTTCATGGAGTATTAATATGAAGAGGTTTGAGAAACATTTAGCAACAAGCACTTAAGGCCCCTTGTTGACATCCTTGCTTTATTCACGCCCTTTATGCACATGTTTTACCCTGCTGGGTGTGACCCTGTGACCCCTTAAAGGGAGGAAATGAAGTAAACCTGCAAGCCCTGCCACCCCCCCCCACCATGAGACTTCTGAACAAGTAGAGCCACTGTTTATTATTTTGTTGGTTCTGAGCTTTAGCTGCACACTCCACATACAGTACTGTGTACAATCTCAACCACTTTACATCTGATTGAGTTTCAATAGATAAGTGGTGCAAGTAAAGAAGAGCCTTGATAAGAATTCAGCTGTCATGTCGATTCAACTTTGTAATGGAGGTTTGAGATGCCGGGCATGCCAATGCTACAAGGCCCCTGGGAACATAGTGCCATTATTTCAGTTAGGGGCTTGCCCGTGTTCACCCGTGACCGCCGTACTGGCGGAAATAAAGCTTGTTGGGTAAGTCCTGGCAATCACTTTGTCTTTTGTCTCTCAGGGAGCCTGTTTTTTGTGGCACAGAGTGCAGGGTTAATTTGATGCAGACGTCATTTGAGAAAGAAGAAAGAGGGCTTGTACTCTAACAGGATTAGTGATAACACTATCATGTTTATTTCATAAGGAAATGTGAAAGCATGCAGGCAGGCTTTGTTGTTTAAAACTGATGCTTGTGTGGGAGAGGAGCAGTGCTCTGAACAGTACACATACAATCAAATAGGAACTCACAAGGATTTAAATTAGAGTTATAGAGTTAACTGTCTAGTCTGTAACATGTCAGAAAACAGTTAGAATCTGCATTTCCTTTTCCCATGTATGGATCTTAAAATGTCTTGTTTTGTCTGATCAACAGTCCAAAAATATCCAGTTTACTATCTTAAAAAAATGGTGGAATTTAATGTCTGAGAGCTTTGGTTTAGTCCTTTTTTTTATGTGTCCCTTTCTTCTTTCTCTCTCAGATTCATTGAGCTCAAGATGATGTCGGACGCCAGCGATATGTTGGCAGCAGCCCTGGAGCAGATGGATGGGATCATAGCAGGTAACCACATTGTACACTTGGACGTAAAGACCATAGCACTTTTTTAAGTGGGCATGGCATACTATAGGTTCTAGCCACATCTGGAAACCATTGAATTGCAAGCTGGGAATACTAGGTCCAGTGGAAGGTAACACAATGTGCCCTTCTCCTTCCACTTCTACCTGCAGTTTTATGTAATCCCCCTGAATGTATAGAAACGTTTCAAATAATGCTGAAGTTGTGCTGCTGGGTCACTGGCCCTTTCTGCCTCCACTGCATTCCTCCATCATGAGAAATTAAATAAAGTTTCCATTGTCCCCGCCATGACAGAAACTAATGATTATTCAAGCTCTGTGAGTTTGGAATAAAAACTCCTGCTTGGGAACTTTGGCCACTCAGCTGCAGATGAGCAGAGCAGGCTTCACTTTCAGAGTCCCCACTTTTCCACTGATGTGTGTAATTATAGTGCTGACCTTTCCAATGGGAGCAAGGCAGTTGATCACATGACATCCCCACTGTTTCTGCAGACACCACAGCCCTCACCGAGCCACACTACCTCGCTACTGGGAGGAAGCCATGATTGTTCGGATATTTATTTATTTGGCTCCCTCTTTGTTGTCGTTGGACATCTTCATTACGGCTGACATTTGAGACGAATGACAGATGGTGCAGAGTAGGCAGCAGCACATGAAAAACTGTACTGGAGTTCAGTCAACATGTTGTTTCTAAGCAAAAAACAGAACATTTAATTTCCTCAGATAAGCAGGAAGATTTCCTTTCCTTAATGGCACATAGTGGGTGTTTCTCAATGTCGAGGAAGGCTCCTCCAGAGCCACTATTTCAAGGATGCTGCGTCATCGAGTCCCGCCGAAGGACTGTTCCAATGCTCAGGATCCTTGGAATTCTAACGAGGCCGGCGTCCTTCATTGCGGGAAATTTCGAGGCTGCACATGTGTATCCTCCGGTCTTAAAATCCCCACAATGCTTTGCGCACGGACTAATTTCCAATATCTTTGGCGGAAATCACGCTCCATTTAAGGCGGGGCCTCGCATATGACGCACACCTGCACACCTGTTAGCCTGTTCCACCATTCTTCGTTTTCTGAGGCTAGGAAGGATTCTTGCCTCGCTTCTGAAGGACCTGACTCGGAAGACATGTCCTACCAAGGAAGCGTCCTCGACATTGAGAAACACTAGGGATGCACCGAATATTCGGCCACCGAAAATGATCGGCCGAAAATTGTTAAAAAGGTTGTTAAAAAAAGTCTTAGCACCGAAAAAATATCACCGAATGTCAGAGAACAGGGTTACGTTGATCATACTCCGCATATTTGTCCGAGTGTTTTGATTTCAAGTGGTGGAGTAATCCCGAAGTGGTGAAAGTCTTTGCAGTTACACCCCCTCGAGAAATGTCAGCTGAACACGTTTTACAAATCGCAATCCGCGCCTCTTTCTCTGATATTTTGAAATATCTCCAAGAAGCAGACATGTTGGCTGTGAGACAGCCGCGAGCATGGTCGCGCGCCGTGCTTGTCGCCGAGTTTTGATTACGTCATCACCAGGGCTCTCGACTAACTTTTTTCACCATCCTCCCGGAACCGTCCCGAAATACAATCTAAGCCGTCCCGAAATTAATGTGGACCGTCCCGAATTTAAAATATTAGTTTTTCTACTACGTACTTATCATTAGTTAAAATCATTCAAAGTGACCTTTAACATAAATAAAACATCATACAAATCATTAGATGATAATTCATCAACCTTTTTATTTGAGTAAATCAGTCAATCACATGAACAAAGGCCAAATATATTTAAACAAACACACAAACGAGAAAATTACTCTAATATTGAATCAAATCAAGTGCCATCCAATTAACAAATATTAGAGTAATTTTCTCGTTTGTGTGTTTGTTTAAATATATTTGGCCTTTGTTCATGTGATTGACTGNCTGTGTGCCTTGGCAGTCTCAGTGGAAAAAGACATGATTATGGAAAAACTTAACTTAAATAATAATCACTAGTATGGGTCCATAAAACATTTATTCAGCACTTTTGAATGCATACAGTACATTAATTCCAAGTCAAGTGCATTTTCTTTTCTCTGTAGGATAACTACAACAAAGTGCATTCAGAACAAAGCCAAGGTGCTTTAAAACTGTATAAACATCTAGGCCAGTAGGCCTACAACAAAATAGTGTAAATAAAGACTGTAACAGCCAGGCCTTCAACAACAACAAATGTTGTTGTAGGCCTACTGGCCTAGATGTTTATACAGTTTTAAAGCACCTTGNCTGTGTGGGAGAGGGTTCAGAATTTGTTTTAACAGTGGGAGAATCCCTGCCAAAAGCACCAAATATTAGTTTCAGACTGATGTCCCACCGGAGGGAATTTGAGAAGCTGAGTCCACACATCACACATCGAGGCAAATCCTGGACTAAAGGGAGAATGTCGGGTCACTTACTGCAAAACTACTTTCATCACAATCAGCAACAGTGTAGGGGCCCCGGGGTTTGGAGAATCTTTCATTTGAATGTGTATTGTTATTTAGTACTTTCACATCCCTACTCAATCCATTTAAACTGTGATGTCTAACCTGGATCCATTAGTTAAGCTTATGGCATAGTCTTTTCTGTGCCATTTTGAAATGCCATCGTATGTGAGTGAGTGAAAACAAATACAGTTTCGAAGGTTAAAATGAAACTGCTTCTTGAGAAGGCCACAGTCAACTACACAAGGAAAATACAAATGCATTCTATGAGGCTGTCTCACATGTCCATGCAATTCATTCAACGTGTTGCTGCTGTGAGGGTAGAATACATGTGTGCATGCATTGTGGGAGGATAATATCCACCTACAGCACTCATATGCTGTTTTTCAGCATGCTGACTTTTCTAGCAGTCTAACACACTTAGAATTACAGTCACTATTGTGAAGGTGTGTGTAAGTTGTGGGTTACATCTGACCGCTGCCTTTTGGTATAGCCTTTATGTTGAATCAGCAACAACGGTTGGTCATCCTGCATCCTGTTTGCAATCTAAACCTACAACTTAGTTTTGATACTGAACAAAATAGATCTGGAGCATTTTAAATAGGATTTCTAAAGCTAGATCTGATTGTAAACATAATGTGAAGTTCAGGGGCTACCATGGGGCTGAATGCTGTTTTCTTTAGGATTTGATTTAAAGTTTAATGGGAGCTAAATGGAAACAAAAAGACATACATGCAGTTGCATTTCATTTAGTCAACTCCCCTTAGAGCTTTACTGTCTGGAAACACTACATTCTATTACCAGAATATATGTCTCAGCTAGTGGACAGAGTATGGAAACTATAACTCTCACACACTTTGAGCCCCTCCGGAGGGGAGAGGGGGAGAGTGGGGGGTAATGGCAGGAAACAGCTGCAGGAGCACAAGGGGTGTTTAAGCCCCTCTGTAACCCTTAAAGAAGTTCACCCTGCACCACATGACAGAGAACAGAGTCCTCCAGTGGAGTGCGACAGACCTTAGCGACTTTAAAAACAATGAGTGGGTGACTTCCAGGATTCAGAGTCAGACATCACATGAAAAAGAAATTCGGCTATCTCTGCTCCATTTATCATGGCGGTACACAGCGGGGTGAGGGGGTTGTACCTCATTCTCCCTGTGGTCTCTCTCCACAGCCGTCAGCTTCAGATTCAGACTGGACACCTCCGTCATCAGCCCCAGCTTCTGCGTCTCCAGAGTGGACCGGGTCAACAGCTCCTGTGGAGCAAGGCGCATGGTTGGTAAAGCAGAACATATTATGTAGAGGGATCAAAGTTTTTTAATAGATATAATAAGTCACTTTACAAGGAAATATAATGTTACAAAAGAAATGCATGAAGTTTTTTAAGGCCTCACATGTTGCAGCAGCTCTTCAGTAGCATTTAGTTTCTCCTGATTATGATCGAGGCAGTTTTCCAGGTCCCGTATCTTTTCACCCTGCACCTCCACCTGATCCGAGAGAACGCTGACCTGCACAATGGAGATTCATTGGTAACAATCACACAGAGCACTCAGAGATCACACACTGTCGGTCAGGGACTCTCAACTGGAGGCTGAGGGACAGTTTATAGACCAGGGTTTATGATATTTAGCTGATCAAATGATCAACTATAAAAAGTCCATAACTTAAATCTTTCAAAGATTTAAAGACTAAGCTTAAGGATCCTTCCCTTTCCAACTTACCTGCCCTTTGAGTGTGAATGAAAGGCAGGTAAGTGTGGACTACCAGATTGCTGGTTTCGAGATTTCAAGGGTTTTGTTGACATTAAGAGATAAGCAGAGGAATGGTAGCCTTGAGCGTTCATTTTATGAAACTGCTGCAACACAATTTGAGCTAGAATGCCTTCAAAATTCACTTGGAATAGTCAGTGGAATAAAATACCCACAGCTATAAATATAGACTTTTACTCTGTTTACTTTATCAGTCATCATTTTTGTATTTGATTGGTCGGTCTGATGTGAGATGCCAGGGGAAAACAACACAAACAGGATCATTTTGAATATCAAAAGATAGATTTAAATTAATATTTTTTCAATATTTTTTAGTAAATTCCCAATCTGCATTGAAAAACTAATCATGTGTAAACCATCCATCAATCTTTTCACCAGATTTCTTGAATGTCTGTTGATTAGTTTCTGAGTATGCTGTTAAATAACAAATAAACAAAACAAACAAACCAACTTCATTGCGTAATCAAGTGCAATTATTCTGCTGCCTTGAAGCTACAATGGAGAATTGTGCCCACCGACCTGAAGAATAAGACACTCTTTGTCACTCTCCACTCGTGACAGACGTTCTTGGTAGATTGCTTCTAAGCCGTGACCGTTAGTCTGTAATGAGAAACAATAAGTATTGATTCGGGTTATCTGAACAAAATGCTGCATTTGTCACATCAAATAGATCAGAGACTTCAACTGTTTGTTTAGCCTGAATAGAAAAGAATGGGGTTGTACTTTATCTGTCAAGTTGAAGTGCGGGTGTGACTGAGGAGTCCTAATGAAAATACACACCAGCCTAGAGACACATGGTATTCTCTTGGATAAAAAAACAAATATGCGAGTTGGGTCTTCAGAGGAACATGTGAGGGTCGATAGTGTTCTCACATGAAAAGTGCAAATTCAATCAAAAGTCTCCAGCTCACAGATGGGGGGACGAGGCTGTGAGGGAAGAAAAACAAGGACCCCCGTCTGCGTCAACGCCATGGAAAGTATTTGCAGCCGGACTCCTATAGGAACTCCATCATTCATGAAGCACGTCATAACAGCACTTCTACAATAAACAGAGTCCCGGTATAGGCAATGCAGAAAGATCAAGAGATGCAACGCAGATCAGAGCATCATTCATAGCAGGCTTTCTGAAGGAAATGAAGCCTGCTATGATGCTGATGTTATCTTCCAGACAGAAAAAGGTTTGGAATGACAGTTCTTTTGGAGATCTGCAACATGTTTACTTTCGCTAGGTTCAAACAATGTTTACCGATGGTGTATCCTCCCGCTGATCATAAATGAAATTTGAATGCAAACCCCCCCCCTTACTTTACCCCCTCCTGGCACAAGTTGGCGTAGCTTGATCCAATCCTTAAATGGTCTCTAGTGTAACTTTTCTCTCCGAATACTAATTTATCGTTTAAAATATGAAAGCACTTTAAATCTGCCTTGCTTTGACATGAAGTTTTACAATTTATTCACTTGTTTGTGTTAGTTCGTGGATGGTTGTTAGCTTGGGATCATAACTGTTATTGTTTTAACTAAACATTTGGCTGTATTAAATCTGATCTGGCCTTCAAGCAATATCAATACACTTAAAATAACAAATGTGATGCTGCTGAAGAGAGGGAGACATTTTTCAAGCATAAAAAACACACAATAGTCAAATTCTTTGTCACGAACACATGCAAGAATACACAGTATGGCACGTTATCATTGTTTACCAATCGTCCCTGCAGCCACTCCGCCACCCCCTCTGCAGTGGAGTCAGGAATCTGACAGCGCAGGTTGTCCTTTTCCTCGTTGTCCATGAGCTCCAGCATCCCGCGCAGGTCCTCCAGCAGGTGCAGCACCCGGAGGCCCCCCAGGAAAGGTGAAGTGGGCGACTGGCAGTCAAACAGCCCGTTATTGTAGTCCATGGCCTTAGAGCCTGGAGAGATAGGGAGAGGGATTGATTTAACCCAAATCAAACAGTGAAGTTGTGAAGTAGTCATTGCATCACTTCTCTGTGGGCAAAGTGTAATACAAATGGCAAGCATCAACAACAACAAAAGGAAGGATTTACTGCCAAAGCCACATTCAATGCCAATATGTTGGTGGGGGTGTGGTGGGAGCAGGATGACTATTCAAAGCTATAAATATAAGTGTTTGTGTAACTGTGTGTTTACAGAGCTCTTCTTCTTGTGTGGGTGCCATTAACAAAAGCAGAGCATATCAACAAAACCCTGTGTGGGTTTGTGACAAGAACTAGGGCATGCAGAAATATGCATACTCAATGTTTATTCCAATTCATTTGTATTAAAAAAAATGTCCCATGAAAACTTCATGGGTGAAGCTACAAAAGGCATTTCATCTATTTGATAATTAATATTGACTTTAATCAATCAGGGATTTTTAATATAGTTAATTTCCCCTGAAAACATTCATTTTTTAAGTGACTCAAATGTTACACATAGGATATTGAGCATCTTTTAGCAAGAATTGTACTCCAACTTATAAGTATTCTCTTTATCCCTGCTTACACAAACATACACGAACATACTGGGCAAGCAAATGTTCTAAGGTCTTCTATTAAAAATCATGTGACACAGTGGGTGTTTCTTAGGGGTGCACCGAATGGGAAATTCTTGGCCGAAACCGATAACGAAAATAGGAAACAGTTGGCCGAAAACCGAATGCCGAAGAAATATATATATATATATAATGTATACATTTTTTACCAATGTTGTTCAGCTACCTGATTATGGAAAAAGACATGATTATAGAAAAACTTAACTTAAATAATAATCACTATTATGGGT